TGGTTGATCACGTTGGCCACCGACACCTTCATCTCCATGAGCGCCAGCCTAAGTCCCACGCAATTTCTGGGGCCCACAGCGAACGGTATATACGTGTAGGGAGTGATTTGGTGCCGATTCTCGGGCAAGAAGCGCTCCGGTATGAACTGATTGGCGTTCGGGAAGTACTCCTCGTTGTGGTGGACGGCGTAGATGGAGATGTGCACCAAATCTCCGGCCTTTAGCTTGATGTTCGTGTCGGCCAACTGGTAGTCGCACTTGACTTCGCGCTCGACGCGCGTGAACGGCGGGTACAGACGCAGGCTCTCGGAGATGACGGCATCCAGGTATGGCAGCGCGCAGAGGGTGTCGTAGTCGAACTGTCCGTCCGGTCCCATGGCTTCCTGTATCTCGTCGTACACCCTTTCCTGGGTGTCAGGGTTGAGGGCCAACTCGTAGAAGCAGAAGGCGATGGCCGTGGAGGCGGTCTCATAGCCGGCCAACAAGAATAGCCACGACTGCGATATGATCTCATTCTCCGTCAGACGCGCCTTAGTCTTGGATTCGGTCTGATTTGGCGCCTCTTTAGCCAAATCTGCGATTAGTGTAGACTATAATTAAGACGATTATCGTTTGATTTACTAGAAAAGTATGACTAAAACCCGCGGCAAATCAAGTGAAATATGTTTTTACTTGCATTTTGAGCGCCGTCTTCGTGTTTGGCGTCCGTGTTCTCGCTGTCGATCAACAGCTGCAGGAAATCCTTGTACGCCTTCTTATGGATCCTCCGATTCTTCACTAACTCGCGGCTGATGCTGAAGAAGAACTCGTTGGAGGTCTCGTCGAAAATGGAGGTAATGTTGAGGAACTGGAGCCACCGCTCCGGCATCATAAGGCCGGCCCCTATCTTGAAGATATTCGGGTGGAAGATATTCTTGGCGTTCGTGATGAACGGGTTGTTCGCGTCGGTGTAGGCGTTGATTCTCGTGGCGAACGCACACTTCGCGATCACATCCATCGACAGATTACCGCTCAGTTCCTTCAGATCGATGTCTTCGCCGTTTTTGGCGAAATCTCGCAACACGTCCACAAAATCGTCGATACACTCCATGAGCAACGGGTAGACCTTCTTGAGCTTCACGTTGGAGAAGACGGACGAGGATATGGAGCGCAACCGCTTCCAGTCGTCGTCCCTGGCGTACAGGACGTTGTGGTCGA